ACCAACTTAGCATATTCTCAATTGATTTCATAAGTGCCATGTGTACTTTATCATAATTGGATGAGTCATATATTCCGTAAATCTTAATATCGTCGGCGTACATTTGTACCTTAATAGATGATGATGTTCTTAGAATGTTAGGTAAATCCATGGTGTAAACTAAGAATAAAAGAGGAGACAGTGCCCCTCCTTGAGGTACGCCACTCGGACACGGATGTCTTTCAGAATAATCGTAACCAACTTTCACGGTCATATGCCTATTCCGTAAATATGACTCAAACCAGCAAAGTAGATTCCCCCCAATGCCATAATTCTTTAATTTCTCGATGAGCTTATCGTGGCAGACTCTATCAAAAGCTTTGGATAGATCAACAAAGATAATGTCCACAGATTGCCCTTTGTTTACTGCCATAGTCCAGTCGAAAAGGCTATCGGCAAGGTTAGTTGTTGTACTTGCACCTTCGACAAAACCATGCTGTTCTTTGGGTATTATCCCCGATCTTGTCAACCAAGAGGTGAGTTTTTCACGCAGGATCTTCTCCATAACCTTGACTGAAGAAGGGGTCATGCTAATCGGGCGGAAGTCTGACACCAATTCAGCACCAGAGGTTTTTGGAATTGGGGTGGCTAATGCTTCTTTCCATATCTCAGGTACAGCCCCAAGAGACATGGAAAGATCGAAGATGTATGCCAAAGGTTTGCAAATGGGGTCGGCGCATTCCCTATAGACGATTTGGGGTATTCCATCAAAAGGTTCTGAGATTGATGGTTTCAAATTCTTTAGAATTCTCTTGATTTCAGATGGGATGAAATGAACATCATTTAGAGAATGTCTCAACAAGACACAGTTCAATGGACCATGTGGGATCATAGATTCATCATTGAAAAAAACACTGATTGACTAATACCACACAAATCTTTGATAATCGGCAGTCCAGAATTCTTCCTCAACTTTCTGTTGATGTATTGAAAGAAATATTTTAAACTAGCTTTAGACGCTAGTCTCAACTCTCGGTTTGCAAGATATTTTTTCAAATGAAAGTCTAGGTCACAGCATATTTTCTTGTACATTGCATTCGTTTGTGGATTATTTAGGCTATGAAAGAGACGACGTTTTTGACTTAACAGATTAGTGATTTGTCTAGGATATCTAGTTCATGAATGGAAGGGAATCTTAAAAGGTACAGAAATTTTAAGGGCTGCGTAGATGACTTTGCAAAACCTTTGATATACATCATCTATTGTAGTGTACTGATCAAATACCGTAAACCAATCAATCCCTTGGAGATAGCAGTTTAGTGAAGAGAAGTCAGCATGAAGAAAATCAGGCATAGGAACAAGAGGTGGAGTACAAGAAGTTTCATTTAAGGCAAATTCAATCATAGAGTGATCAGAAGTTGCCAGAGGTGCCAAAATTTCTACTGCTGATACAATCGGAGATGAAGATAAGATTAGATCTAGGATATTTGCTTCGTGAGTTGGCTTTTTTTAGATTATATACCGTATTGCGGAATGCATATCATCCTCATATCTGTAACAGTTGATCTTATTCTCATAACATACTTGCCTTTATCTAAGCTTTATATCTTGTCTCATAACATAGCTTCTCACTTGCATATCTCCATTGCACGTACGCTTACAGTTGTATAACGTAGTGGTACCAGCTTTCCAGATAATTGCCGGGGGCAGGCGGCCACGCGATTTATGGGCGGGCGGGCACCGGAAAAATAGTTCGCTGATTTCTTGCGGTCCGCTTGCAGATATTTGGAAGGAGCGAATTATTAGACGAATGCTTGGAAAACAATCGCGGTTTCCTTACAGATTAGTTGCGGCGCAGTGGCCGGATTCTCGCGGACCTTCCGCGAGAATGGGCAAAATTTTCGGGGGCCGCACGGTCCTTTGTGGAGGACCGCGCAGCCCTCAGGTACTTTCCGCTGAGAGAAAGTACCTCAAACTTGAGTAATTAAACCAACGGTGGCACCTCTGCCACACAGAGTCTTACCTGTGCTAGTATGCCCGAAACTGCTTAAAAAGAGTCCGAGCGCTTGCTGAAAGTTTGGCCAGCGCTCGCTGAAAGAAATTGTTTGCCGAGCGTTTGCAGATAATGCTGCATTGCTTCCCGCTGGCAGAGTATGCGACCGTAAAGGAAGTGCCGCCAGCGGAAGGTTTGGCCACGCCCCCAAAATTCCGTTGACCGCTTGCAGAAAAGCGCGAGTTTGCGGACCGCCTGCCCCCGGCGATTATCTGAGTTGGTGTATACCAAAGAGGTAGCTAAACTAGTTCTGAAATATAACTAGCCATTTTTGAAAATGAGCACTTCGCTTGGGCGGCCCAATACTAAAAGCAGCGTCCAGGCAAATTTGGGCCTATGGGGACCTCACTTGGAGGGTAATCTTGGAGCATTAACTAAAACACAGCCCAAGCGGCAGCCCAGTTGGTGAACTCACAGTTGAGATATTCGCCTCCAAACTGGACCCCAGGATCGTATTCGAACGAATTTATGGTGCGACACATCATTTTCGCGCGAGGACCCACGCATGTCGCGCCATGAACTCATGCGAATACAATCCCGGAGTCCACTCTTGAGGCGAATATCTCCACTGTGAGATCACCATTTGAGTTGCCGCTTGGGCAGTGTCTTACAAGGGAAAGATACTCGGTGTCCGTGGCGCTGATTCCGAATCTTACTTTCGTTTCTGCTAATCGCTTCAAAGGTGTTATCATGGATCGCGCGGAGTTTGGCTGCCCAGTGAAATAATGTCGGACCGCCAATGTCATAGGTGCGTTGTGGCCTAGTGGTTAGTGCGGTAGCTCCATGAGCTGATGCAGGTGTAGGGTCGAGTCCTTTTGTGTTCCTCAGTTTTGGATTGCCTCAATTAACCTTCTTTTGCATCCTCAAGCTAAGTGAACGCCCTTACTCTTCAAAAAATGTGGAATTTTGGAAAAAATGACTACTGTCTGCGCTAAAATGCAACCAGTGGTCATAATTCGAGTCAACTTTCTCGAACAAGCTTAAATGAGGCAATGCAAAAGTAAAAACACGAAGGATTTGAACCTACACCTGCATCAACTTATGAGGCTATCGCACTAACCATTGAACCACAACGTGGTCGCGGCAGAGGCCGTTCCAATGACCATATTTCCCTTAAGCGGCCAAACTTAGGTCGAAATTTCTCCATAACTTCTTTCAGAGAAACGATTGGCAGAAACGGAAGTCAGATTCGGAATCAGTGTCCGAAGGTGAGTGTAATGGTACACATCTCGTCTCAAAAAGCCACGGACATTGAGTATCGTTTCCTTGTTAGTTAGGGCCCCAAAATTATTTCCAAGAACCCCGTATGTCCAGATTTGCCTGGACGCTGCCTTTAGAGGCAGCGTTCCACCAAACTGGGGGATACCTGGCTCTGGTTGTATTGTGATAGTAGACCCCCTGACTAAGCGATGATGAAGTTCGGAGCGAAAAAGAGGGTCTCAAGCCTGAAATTTGCTCTGAAAGTGGCCCGAATCTTACGATAGCCCGAGCGCCGCCCCTCCAAACTGCACGAAATGTAAGGCCAGAGTGCGTATAGCGGACACAGTGGAGATCGCAAGGTCCCGCAACGATTCTGCGTCTCTACTTTGCATGCATCTCGTACTCGCCCAAGCCTGGCGTAAAATCCGGGCTACTTCGAGGGCGATTTGTAGGCTTCGTAGACCCCCTTTCGCGTTGCAAACTTCAGTCATCGCTTAGTCAGGGGGTCTACTATCACAATACTACCAGAGCCAGGTACCCCCCCCCCCCCCAGTTTGGTGGGACGCTGCCTTTAAGAACCCTCAGGTTTGCTAGAATTTGGCCCACTGGGGTTACCTGACATGATGATTACCAATGTTATCTATAAAGCTGAATGTGTGTCTATCTGTATGTAGGCTAATTTGAATTTTTAAAATTTTAAAAATTATTTTAATTGTTTACAAAAATAAACAAGTCATTTGCACATTTTTATAACTCATGTAAGTAACTTTCAAAAATTTCGCGACCCGTTCTCGGGGGGAGGCGCGCGCCCCCCCCCCCCGCCCCCCCCCCTCGGTACGGTCTGTACGTATGTGCGGAGTAGAAATTTTTATTTCTGAACCGATGGACCAAACTTGGCACACGTACACTTCGGGGCAGGGAGCGTGTCATAGGCTACTTTTTGTATCGATCGATATCGATTTTATCGATTTTTTGCAAAATTTGAGCTACGGGGCTGGGAGTTGGCACAGGGGGTAATCGAGCATGCTGATTACAAGTATGTTATTGACAGGGCCGAGCGGAGCCGCGTTTGCCAACTAGTATGTTACTAATTAAGCTTGGTAGAGCCTTGTTCATGCTTACGATAAGCAAACGATAGTACTGTGAAGGGGGGGGGGGTATTGAGACAGAATCTAGGGGGTGGGGAGGGGGGGAAAGGGGTCTTATACGGAGGTTCTGTGCCAGGCTACGGGTCAGAAGTCACACTGCGCACGGCGAGTTTGCAAAGAGCGAAGAATTGTTCAGCGGGCAAGCCGTCGCTTCGCGGCGTTATTGCAGCATGCGGCGTGTCTCCTGACCCTTCCCCTCTGTGCCACACCTCTTGCTTGACCCTGAACCTGACCCGTAGCCTAGCCGGCGGTGGGTACGGGTCGTCACGATTTTTCGCAAAGAGACGCCGCACGACGTCAAGCAGTACAGGCCTTGACTCCCGTCAGCACTCCTGCCGCAATGTTACTTATTGCATCGAGTCATGTATCTGCCGCCACCCCCACCCCTATTATTGCGCCGTGCCACTTTAGCACCGAGGAGTTTTATGAGCAACAAAATCTGGGGCGGCGAGCGGCAGCCGCGCGCGGTGTGACTTCCGACCCAGAACCGCCGGCCGTCTTCAAGGTTGCCATTTGATCGTTGGAAGTTACTGCGCTCTAACGTTAATACAGTATCGTTAGGACCGAAGATGAATAAGTCGAATATGGCGTACATGTTGAAGAGGTTGAGGAAAGGCTGAGCTAGCATCCCAGGGGTTTTCAATAAAGGTTTTTTTCTATGAGGGTTTTGTCTATCCACAAGATTCATAACGTGGATCAAAACGCGCAGAGCATCTAGTTGTTGGTGTCACACAAGAAAGGTCTAGGGAGTGCATCGGATGCAACGATCACCGCTACCGTTTTGACACGTATGACATTACAACGTCTGTTGCACTGACCCACAATAGCACTGCGTCTCCGAAATTTTCACGTTTTCCATCTAGACAGTGAACATTTTCAGTGTGCGGCATGGGGCATGTGGCAGTGCTCGTTCTCTCCGTAGTGCTCATTTCTCATACATCTGGACATGAACCTGCACATGCCAAATATGGACGGGAAATCAACGAGAAGGTGAATTTGTTCGTTCAAAAGATTTGGCGTTCTTCCGTACATTTTTCGTTCTGATTTATCATGAATTGCTCCCCTCACATAGTGAGCATGCACAGCATCAGTGTGGCTTTCCACCGCGTCATATTTTTGTCAGTAACTGGCTGAACCCTTATCATAACTTCTATGAGCAGCAGGGTTGTGGTTTTGTTTTTCGTATGAAATTCACGCAAATTCAAACCATCCCATACGATGGGTCGCAGTTGGTGACTACTTTCCATCCACTTTTTGTTAGGATTTTATGCTAGAAGCTCGGTCCCTATCAGTTTTGCCTGAAAATCTCTAACCAGTATTTTATGTGTAATCATTATGTTTTGTACTAGAACATGTTTGAAATTGAAATCAACTTGGTAACCTAGCGTTTGCTTTTTTGATAGTCAGCTCTCGTTTATTCTCAACTGTAAGATATAAATAGTCATCATATTGCAAATCTCGAAAAGTCCCTCAGGAAATCCGCAATATGCTGTGTCATCTTCGCAGCGTCATAGGAGTTGTTATTATGAACAAAAGCTCTAAAAACGTTGTCATCAGAAACTGGGATTTAAACAGGTTGAGGACCATCTGTCTCTTCCATATTGGACTGATGTGGTACAACATCGAAAAGCAAGCCCAGTTCATCTAGAATCATTTCAGTAAGGCTTTTCACTTCACTGAAGAATAGCTTCGTTAGTGATTATCTAGTATTTGAAACGTATGGAATTAGTGGTATATTTCAATTACGGGAAAGAACCCATTAGAAGCTTTGCGACCACTTTATTTTCGTGTTAGATCATGAAGTCTTTTCTAGTTTCAGTATATTGAGCTTTATCTTGGTCTTCTCAAGTTCTCGGCAAATTGACCTTCAGGCGGCACGCGGCGAAGTGAAGGGAGAGTATGAACACGGTCATTCCCATGAGAGTGGCGGGTGTCCACATTCCCATTCACAAGGAGGGGATCTACATGGACACACTCATTATGAAGAAGAGCACGCGCACAGGCACGATCATCATGATCATGGACACATTCATGATCACGGTCACGCACATGATCATCACGATTATGACTATCGAAAGTAAGTTTCCTGTGGCTTTCTGATACCGTTTTGAGGTGTTGTAGTGCTCTAAGAGCGAAAGTTCGTATCAATCAGATAACCAGTCATTGAAGGGTGATTTTTTAGATTTGTTGCCAATCCTAATCTCTGGACACACGCCATTGGAGCCACTTTGATTATTAGTGCCGCACCATGTTTTCTTCTGTATTTTATCCCCATTCAAGTAAAATGTTCTCATTTATCTTGATCGATCTTGACAAAAGTATTATTTTCAGGACAACTCCCCCTCTAATGAGAAATGGTTGAAGGTGTTGCTAGCTTTCGGATCAGGAGGCCTGCTTGGCGACGCCTTTTTGCATCTAATTCCTCATGCCATGCCTGTCGGCACCGAATCTGTTTCTCACGCGCATTCTCACGGAGGAAGTGGAGGTGGGCATAGCCACTCCCATGGAGAAATGCGAGTTGGCGGTTGGGTGCTTACCGGTGAGCATAGCGTGTTGTTTTTTGTTTTTAACAAGATCTGCTATTTTGGTTATTATTTTGGCCTATTGAACTTTAGGCATCATTGCGTTTTTAATGGTTGAAAAGATAGTGCGAATAATTCGAGGAGAGGACGATCACGGTCATGGACATTCACACGAGCACGCTCCCAAAAAGAAGGTATGCTTCAACAATTTATCTTTAAAGTAGCGCGTCGCGCCGTATCTTTACTCTTGATCAAATCCGATTTCTTAAGACATAGAAAATTTGTCTTTCTAGATCGTGGCTATGATCTAGCCTGTTTTGACCAATTGATGGCATTTAACGAAATTATTAGGCTTTTTATCAAGCACCACCATTAAGCATAGTTAGATGCAGTCGACATAAATTACTGATCGCCATTTTCATTCTGTCAATATAGCTCGCGTTCTCAAAAGTCGATAGAAGACGAGATCGATGGAAAGTGGCTCGATCATAGAGTGATCAAAGAAAGATCGGCAACAGGGTCGAGCAAAAGTATGGCACACTACCGCCGGAACAACCCTCGCCCCCATAGCTCTGGCCTCTCACCGTATACCGGTGGCGGTTCGGGAATCTTCATTAAGGAGACTGAAAAAATTCTAGTGGAGGGGCATAGGCTCTGTGGTCTCTTAAAGGCACCGTCCACCCAAAATGGGGTTGATGAGATTTTGATGCCTAACAGTGGTGGGGCCCCCACCACTGCACACTTGCCCAACTCGCGCTGGTAAAAGTTTCTTCTGAAGTGAAATAATTGCCCCGAAAATCACTCGGATGACAGTTCCGCCACGTTGGCTCCTCCCCTTTTGAGTGGGCGTGACGTTCATCCCGCTCATCCGTGCGCAGCCAACCAATCACCGTTCCTGAGAACCCGCCCTGCGGTTTCGGGAAACGGAGATTTTTTGGGATTTTCGCAAATTCTCGATTTGATATTCGGAATCGGGGGTATGAGAAGGCCCTGGAACGGCAAAAACATGGAGGTCTAAAATTTGGTTGGACGGTGTTTACACGTTTACGACATCGGCCGATTTTTCAATGACTGCCATTTAGGACCAAAGCATATTTCGCAATATTGAGTTTGCGCTATATTTTCTGATGACTGACGGTCCTACAGTTTGAAATGTTAATCTTCAAAGTATCCCAACAGATGTAATACAGTCGAGTAGATTTCTTGCTCAAGATAGTGTCCCTGCAGACGCGACAACGCTTGTGCGTCAACAATTGCCGTTGCGAGTTTCGATGTTTTCTGGTTTTTTCTCATCCTTTGCTTTTGAGGTGACTCATTGCTGATAAAGGAGAATAAGTTACGTTAGAGAGTAGTTTTTTTCTGAGTAGCTGAATCGTCGCTTATTTTCTGTATCCACGTGAAAGCTACGTCGCGTTTTATTTTTTCTGTCTCTTCATGCCTCTTCGCGTCAGTTTCATGCGTATATTTTTGTCATTTGATGCCTCTTCCTTCTTGTGGAGCATTTCTTTGAATGCTAGTAGCAGGGCTCGGCACAGCTGGCACCGGGTCAAGCTGGATATCGTTTTTGGGGCGGAAAGCAAAGGGGATATCGTTTTTCCGGGATCCGGAGTGGAGGCAGCCGCAAGAATGCCGCCGGCACGCCACCGGCTTGCCGTACATCAAACAAACAAGGGCGTTGTTTCCAGCCAAAATGCAATAGTGTGACACCAAATTTGGTGTGTGCATGCGCTTGGCGGCACCCCAACTGTGGCCCAAAAATTTATGAAAACTTATATGATTAAAAGCTGTGCTGAACTTTTTTCTGAATTAGCTGGCACCGTGCCAGCTGGGTGCCGGCTGAGGTGGCACTTTGCTCACATATTTTTCATACTTTTTTACGTAGGTATCTACGCTGTAAAAGTTTACATACAGAGAAAAACGATTCCATAATGTTTTCTTTTCGGCGTTTTATAGGCATTGAAAATTTCTTGGTTTGCTCCGCAGTTGAAAAACCTGCTTTCTCACTGCTTCTCATATGTGGTTCAACCACTCAAAAAGCTCAGGAAACTTATGAAAAGTTATTCTATGAAATCAGCATGCGTGACAACCCTATCACATGCTTGTACAGAATCTAGAAAGTAATGGCGGGTCTTCAAAACAGGTCAGAAGGGCTTCGTACGAAATTTCCAAGATCAGCCTACTAGCGTTCGGAATAATGTTCATAAGAAGAAGGCATGAAGAGACAATACACATAAAACTGACGCATCGTGGCTTCCACGTATTCAACCTGAGAATAAGCGATGTTATAACTGCTCCACAAACCAGAAACTACTCTTTAACTTACCTGTTTCTCCTCTATCAGCAATGAGTCACCTAAAAGGTAAAGAAAGAAAGAACACTTGAAGACTCGCAACAGTAACTGTTGACGCACAAGCGTTGTCGCATCTGCAGGGACACTATATTAGGCAGGAAATGTACTCGAGTTTACAGAAGTTTATTCAGTTTGCCAAAAAAGTTTTATCATAAACCAGCAAAATCAAAAACATCAGAAAGCATACTACCCAACTGTGGATCTATTGTCCGAAATGGCAGGACACGTATGACCCACCGGTGGACACGTAGACCCACCGTGAATGTACTGAAGATGTTCGGGATGCTTTCCAAATTTTTGGCGTGTGTCACCCCGCAATCATTGAAATGAGATTGTAGCTGCTCCAGGCCCCTGAGAAAAATTTTATACAGTTAATTTGAATATTCAAAGTTTCAAAAAAAAACATTCTGATTCTTTACAAGTAGCGTATTTGCAAAATTTTGCGTCTCATGCAAGTGAAGTTTCGCGATCCATTCTTGGGGAGAGGCACCACTGTCGTCACTACACAATGAGTATCACGGCGGTCGGCGTGGCTCCTTGCGAGCTGCCTCGCCTAGGTAACTCTGTGCGTTCGCGTACGTGTCTCGGGGCATTTTCCAGCTAGTCAGCGCCTTAAAGGCAGCGGCTCGGCAGATTGACCTACCTCAGATTTTTACACAGATGGATAGGAGGCGCTCCAAGTGAACCAAAACAGCAACTCCGGGCCGAAAATGTGAACTCTGCAAGCCAGGGGGGCGGCCCAAGCGCCGCTCCCCTTCCTTCTTTCGCTCCCCTAAGACTTTGTTCGGACGAGTATTCTCCGCTAGACGGCGCGGCACCCCCCAACCGCTTTCCCGCATTGTGCATGCCATACAAAGCCAAAATTACAGGCAGGGTCTTCGTGCCTCCCGACTTTGCTTTGAAAATTCTCGTCCGAGCTGCCTTTTGGAAATTGAAAAAAAAACGCCCGGAAAAAGGCCTTTCCACGACTTTTATAGCTCAGATTCGGGATCTACGGGTCGAGAAGGCCCAAAACATGCAAAAAGATGGAAATGCAAAATCTGCCGGGACGCTGCCTTTAAAGGCAGCGTTCAGGCAAGATCCATCCACCCAGATTAGCATGTAGTTGTAAAGGGGGTCCATGAGTATCCGATCTGCGTTGGTCCGATCTTTTGAAGTGGACTCTAAAAGGAGATACGGGCCTGTGATACTATCACAAACCGTCCATTCGTATCGCAAACCACCTCTGAGGACGAGTGCTCACGCATGTGTGCAGTTGCATTGCAGTTGCACTGCACACTGCAATGCAACTGCATCCGTGCACTGCAGCTCCTCAAGCTGGCATGCGATGGGGACGAGCAATCCGAAACTCGTCCGCTCCTTGAAGAGAGGGTCCCCAAGAATCGGGTTTTTGGGGGGTTATGAACAATTTGGACTTCACAACCGTAATCAGGGCCACGGAAAAGCCCCAGAATGGCAGAAACATGAGAGGCGAAATTTTGCCCGGACGCTGCCTTTAAGCGTGGAAAAATACTATATGGGCTGAGGGCTAACGCGGCGAAGAAGTCCTGCCATGCAGATTGAGTGCCATCAGCGCATTCATTGTCAAATAATCCCTGTGCCCTTTGTTCTACCTAAAACGTGAGATTTCCAAGTTTCAAAGGCAACTTAAGCAGCCTTTTTCTCACGGACCTTTTTAACGATCTCTTTTCACTTTTTCCTTTTTTCAGCCATGGTCTACTCTAAAAATCCCATTTCATTTGAAGGCACCGTCTGCGTAAAAGGGGGTTGACGAGGTTATGATGGCCTACTAACGTGAGCCCCCACACAAGTCATACCCCGAAGTTGCGAAGCAAAAGATTGCTTCTGGAGCGAGAAATCGGTTCCGGAAGGGACGCGATCTGGTGCTGGTCACCCCGCCCACTTTGCAGGGCCAATGACGCGCCCTGCATATCCGCGCCGCAGCCCCGCGACTTGCATTGCGCCCTTCTCGAAAACGGGGGTTTGGGGTTTTGCGGATTCTGGAGTCTATATATTCAAAATCAGGGCCTTGAGAAGGCCTGGAAGCGATAAAAACATGGAAGTCGAGAATTTAGGTGGACGGTGCCTTTAAAGGCAGTGCGTCGGCAGAATGAGACCCGTGGCAAAACAGGGTCACAGGGCAGGAGCCCCCATAATGGAACCTATGGGCCAAAGTTCGATCTTTCTCTGGCACTTCTAACCCCCGAAATTTCAAAGCGAAAGAAGGGCTCAGCTCCTGTCCTCTCCGAACCCGCCCATCACATGGACGAGTAAACGCGGAGCCCGTCATGGCGAAGACGCAGAGTCGTTGCGGGACCTCATGCTTTTAGCATTGCGGCTGGCGCTCTGACCGTGGAAGTCACTCGTCCATGGGGTGGGCGGGTTCGGAGAGGACAGGAGATTAGCGCTGCTTTCGCTTTGAAATTTCGGGGGTTAGAAGTGGCAGAGAAAGACCGAACTTCGGCCCATAGGTTCCATTACGGGGGCTCCTACCCTGTGACCTTCTTTTGCCACGGGTCTCATTCTGCCGACGCACTGCCTTTAATTATCAAACAACTAGCTGGCTTACCCGGCTCCGCCGTATGTTCCGAATAAAAAATTCCATTTCTTAACCGATCCGGACCAAACTTGGCACACATACACTTCGGGCCCCGGCGGGTGTTACAGTCCACTTTTCGTTATCGATCGATGTCGATTTTATCGATTTTTTGCAAAATTTGAGCTAGGGGGCTGGAATTTGGCAGAGGGGTGTAATCGAGCATGCTGATTACTCCCACGGGGGTGATCAGCATGCTCGATTACCCCCCTGTGCCAACTTCCAGCCCCGTAGCTCAAATTTTGCAAAAAATCGATATCGATCGATGACGAAAAGTAGCCCATGACACCCGCCGGGGCCCGAAGTGTATGTGTCCCAAGTTTGGTTCGGATCGGTTGAGAAATGGAATTTTCTATTCGGAACATACGTACAGACAGACATACATACAGACATACATACAGACAAACAGACATTCAGCTTTATATATAAGATGAAACTTAGAAATAAGCCAAAGTTTTGTTGCTTGTATTTTACGTTTACTATGTGATTCAAAAACTACCATTTATACAAAGAGAAAATATGGTTCAAATTACGTCTGTAAAAACAGAGGTTATAGGGCGGCTGTGACACCTTTTTAGAGGCACCGTCCAGTTTAACCCTTTCGTACCTGATGGTGGCATGCCATCTATTCAGAAACCCGCTGTACTGATGCAATAGCATATTTTTACTACTCACTGCTACAGATCGCTTCATATAGCCTTTGCCTTCCAGATGTAGCTTTGAAACCGTGTGTTCATTTGTCTCCATGTCAGCAGCACAAAAATTTCTGTATACAAGTGAATTGCAACCAATCAATAATTTGGCCGGTTTCAGCACCGTGTCAGTAATCTCGTTTATTAGCCAAAAATAACCATAACATTAGCAGAAACTTTGAGTACAATGTTGTTCAAGAGTAGTTTTTAACTGTTCGCGGGTCTACATGTACTGAGGAAGATTTGAAATTCAAAAATGAACGCAAAACCAAAAAAATCAAAAATCTATAAAAATTAGTTTCTAAGATCAAAAAGACTCCAAAATCCGCTCTAATGTTGTTCATTTCATTCATTCATTCATTTGTACGCTCAAGGCGTCCCATAAAAAAGCACATCGAAAACTTGGTAATACAGCGGAATGAACAAGAAATGTAAACGAAAGCATACATCATCATGTCACTCCGAGTCTAATCCTAGTCAGACTAATGTAAGAAAGATTAAACGGTTTGCATTGAATATGTTGATAGGCTAATAGATATGTCTACAAATGTAGGCATTGATAGGCATCGATACTTATAACCAGAGTTGAGCAAGAGGTCAGGCACAAGTCTCTCAAAAACGTCCGTTAGACGCTCACATACGACACCGCATTGTACGCACTTTTGTGAGACTTGCTCTAAATTGTCCGAAGTGGATTTTCAAGAAAATTCGAACAGAATGTGGCGCCAATGCTTTCTGAGAACATTACATCAAACGAAAAAGGATATAGATTCATATTCATCCCAGTACTTACCAACGTCTTTCCTACGCAAGTTAACATCTGAATGAAATCGTCAACTAGTTCATAGAGTTTTGAGCTCCCTTTCAGTCACTGGTGGGCATATATTTCGTAACAATAAGGACATGCTTTTGGCTCTGTTAAAAAACCTGGGTAGGCATATTTCAACAACGAGTGCTGCTGCTCTTGTCTGCCAATCTGCGAATGATTATACATATCGTCGATTCGTTGACTGTACGGCCTGGACATACCGCGGCACGCGCCGCGGCGTAATACGCTTGCTCCAATACAAACTCGCCATTGTTAAAATCGTGCTCTCGCAACATTTTACCGCGCCGCGCGTGGTCCGCGGCGGTTGAGCAGTCCGTACGGCCAACGAATCGACGATACCTACTAGTGAACCAGTAATTAAATGTGCTAGACTGCATTCGCGCGCTTCGGGAGCGCATTTGCGGTTTCCCGCTGTTTGCAGATTTTTGAATTGCGCTTACGTTTTTTTTATATTAGGTCATTCCGAAAGTAATTTCGCTTTTTTCAAACGGGCGCCACATCTGATGGAACAAAGATTTCTAAGAGATCTTGGCAGCATTCGAAACATCATTTCATTATCTTTCTAACGGTTATGAAACTGTTGCAAAACAGTCAATGAGCTTTCAGAAAATAACCAAAATCTGCGACCTATGCTTTTTGAGATAGTCAAGTTTCACAATTTTTTAAAACTTTCATATCAATTCTCAGAAGAAGTTCAAGTGACGGTTCGATAGAGCAGACCTCATAGAATACAGAGCAACTTTTTTCTCTTTTCCACAGCTTATCATACATTTTTAACAGAATTTTAACTGATGCTACCGATGTCCATACTTGGACTGCTAAATCCTAGTAGAACATCAAACCTTGGGTGTCATTCGATGCAGCTTTTTCTCCTCTTTCTAACAAGTGTCTTTTGTTTCCGATTCGTTTAGTTTCCGGGGATAAAATCATCATAACTCATTTTTTTAGGGAGCCCCAAGCTGTACCCGAAAAACTCGAAATTTGATATTTTGAACCCGTAAACCCTCATTTGCTTTGTAAAATTAATGCTAACTCATAGTACCATCTGGTAGTCTCAAATTCCGAAAAATTATGCCTCTTTCTGGTCCACAGTCACGTTTTTTGTGTAGCAGTTGTCGCTTATATGAAACTTCATCAGTAATGTTAGAAAGTTTTTCGTTCCTCAGCAAGCCTGAGTGCTTGTCGGTGCACTATTTTTGAGCTCATGCACTGTTTCTTTGCCGTTGTAATCGTATTGTCTGGTTTGTTCATGGCTAGATGCGTTCAGGACAAAGACTCGGATGAAGAGTCCGACGATTCACAGAAAAGCTTGAAGAGTTCTCACGAACACGAAAAGCTTGTGAAATCAACTCCACCGGAACACGGCGAAATCAAGGTGAGACTCAAGAGCTTGTTTGACGCAGGTCCCGGCTCTTGTTCAGTAGAAGCCCCAACAGTGATAGCACTTTTCATATGGTTACTATCCTCTAAATTCTAGGTGGCCGCATATCTCAACCTCGTGGCTGACTTCGCGCATAATTTTACTGATGGTCTAGCCATCGGTGCCTCATTTATCGCTGGTACCACAATTGGAGTAGGTAGGTTCGCTTTTGCTTTTGATCCTAAGCCAATATTGTGACGTGTCGACTACTATGATGGCGCCTCTCTTGAACGTCTTGAAGCCATTGCTGGAACAATCAATCCAGTGTATGTACCTGGTTGTAGTATTCGTCGCATTTGTCGCGAAAATGCGATGGTGAAAAATCATTTAAAAAAGCTATTTGACACTTGCAGTGACTATGATCACAGTTCTTGTGCATGAAGTACCACATGAGATTGGAGATTTTGCTATCTTGATACAGTCAGGTTACTCCAAGAGGAAGGTTCGTCACAGTTCACCTCAAAGCGGTACCAATGTGCCTTTTTGTAGGCCATGCTCATTCAACTTGTCACTGCCCTTGGGGCACTTTCTGGATGCGTTCTCTCTCTTTGGGTTGCAGATCCATCAGCTTTAGCAGACGCAGCAGCTAGCAGTTGGATCCTTCCATTCACAGGTAGAGCAAATACCAGTGCTCTGTTTGCTTGATGCGGCTCATTATAGCTGGCGGCTTCATCTACATAGCTACAGTCTCGGTTATTCCCGAACTTCTCGAGAATTCTTCAACGACACAGTCTCTAGGGGAGATCCTAGCTCTTCTTTTCGGCATTTTCATGATGTATCTCATCTCGATTTATGAGTAACCAGTACCAGTAGTTACCAATAACAACACTTGTGTGGTAGATTCTTACATTATCTTTTTTTTTTGATTTACTCGTTTTTCTAACTAACATTCTTACCGCTAACTTTGTAAGTGCTTGTTGTCCTGATGATTTGTTATACTATATGTTGTATAGTTTGTTCATACTTATATTGTAAGGGTCAGGATTGCGGAGTCGAGCTATTGCTCTAGTTTTGGTTTGGTCCACTGCAGGATAGGTAATAAAGGTGATGGTTCATCGGTACAATATTCATATGAACTTGATTAGAATGGAAGACGGCTTTCCACATTCTATATGCATGAAATATAATGAAGTTTGATCTGTTTATACCCTGCAATTCTCGTGCGCTCATATCACCACCGAATGAAAGCAAGTAATGGCCTAAAGATGGGGTTTACGTGTGTGGTTAATGTGAGCTTCCTTGTATGTTCGTATTTTCGTATTCGCACATGTTTCAACATAACTGGTTGAAAATACTTCAGTATGATAAGCGGCATTCCTCGCTTCGTTAGAAAATTTATTTCGAAAAAGATGTATTTGCAAAAATGGATTCAAATTAAAACTCACAGGAAAGCTATTTAACTTAGCTCGGCCTTTTGGCAAGAACATCTATGTTTTGAATGAGCTTCAGACACTGATCCCAGATATGCTACTCCTAGCTGCCGAGCATTATTCCGAAGCGAGTTATGGACTTTTTCCTGCGCAAAATTGGCATACAACTGAACATGGGAAGAGGGCCTGTAGGTAAAAATCTGCAAGAAAAAGGTGCTGGGATATCGAAATAACAATCCAGTCTTTTTTTTTTCCAAAAAAAAAGTTAAACGCAAGCGAATTAGCAACAAGGTGATGATGCCGTGATGCTAGTGAATCGATGAGTATGCCAATTTTGCACAGGAAAAGTCCATAACTCGCTTCATAAAGGTGCTCGGCAGCTAGGAATAGCATATTTAGAATCAGCGTTTGAAGCTGTTTCAGAATATGTATGTGATTTGCCAAAATGCCGAGCTAAGTTAATTAGCTTCCCTTGTTAGAAGCGGGATAGTAACGTATGGTAATCAAGCAAAATTGATTTTTTGTTCATTCAAGCGTATATTCAACTAGGCGTGCTAGTTTGGGAGATATGGGTCTCATCCGTAAAGCTTGTGAGACAGTATCAGACCTTGTTGGCGGGTAGAAAACACGCATGTTTGCCGACTTTAGCTGCAACAACACAATTCGATTGCACTATCTTATCATTGGTATTGCGCCGCCTGGGTCACTCATAACCTATCGATCTTCCCCTACTTTCCCATTGCTATATTTGTGTACGTATCAATTTTTGCAACGTCATCTCTTCTTTATTTATTTTTGCAGATACCCAATGAGTATTCAAAGTTATCCTGTTTTTCTACTTTTTCATGACCTACCTAACTGCTTCGCTTACGCTAGAAATGGGGCAGTCCAAGGCGGTAACTACCTGCTATCCATGGTAAGTGCTCTATTTGGAAAACTGTGTCGTATATCTTGGTCAAGAGAAAATGCCGATTTCGGGTATATCTCCGGGTCATTTGTGTGAAGTCAGCAATTTTAGCTGAGAGTAATTAGCATCAAAGCTAGTATATGCTCCTGTTGTTCCTCACATGATGCACGAAACAGGTTACCAGTCTTTTCCTCAGGTGCTCTCCAGACAGACTGGAATCTAAAATCGTGTATAATATCTTGAGTGTAATAATTGTAGTGTTCCTCTCTTTTCGAAACATGATTATATTCTCGCATTTTTTGGAGGAGAGATAGTTTTTCGACTACTGTATTTCTTGATGAAAACTCTGCATGTGACACACTAAGATATAGACTAACCACGACTGAAAACCGAATGAAAATAATTTTCGTGTAACTTAAGTAAACCTGAATTCGGGCATCCTACTAAATCGTACTTACATGAAATGTCAGAATGAAATTTTGTTGGGTGAGGATAGGGGACGGCTGCAGAAATCCTTGCATTATAAGGGGCGTGGCGTCCCGTCTAGGAACAATTGATTCAAAAGTCCGTTCACGCCATATTCGTAAACAATGTAAAACGAAGCCAGTTTTTCGTGGCACTATTTATCATGAATTTGTTCGGAGATATCTGGGAATTTTCTTAGATCTCGCAAATTTTACCTCAGAGTTTCTTTTAACGCATTTTCTGATATGTGGGATGTCTGTCCGAGTACAGTAGATTTATGGTATTAGGCTGATGCAAAAGTAATGACGTTTTTTTTAGTTCTGGTTTCAGGACAACTTTTTTCCATCAAACTTCTTTCTTTGGAAAAGACTTAGCATACTGTCAAGAAAAACTTTCATGCTCTATTCAATGGTAGTTGAAACAAACTTCTAGCCTCAAAATTTACGGAGCTTTACACAACCGCACTCAAAAAAGAATTTCATTGCATTTACTTTTCTGGCCAGAATTCAAAGGCAGCGTCTGGGCAAAACTTCGAATGAAATTTTTTCGATTACCTGGGCCCTTCCCGCTGATTCCGAAAATGCAGCTCGGAGAGCACGAAAACGCCGAAAACGAGCTTTTCCAGAAGCCCGTAATTTGAATTTTGTCGCCTGCCGCCAAGGTTAAGACGCGAGTCTTTGTGGGACCCTACGTCTTGACTGTGTACTATGGCTTATCGAACTAACTCGTCTCCGGTCGCCGGGGCGTTCTGGTAGCCACTTCTGAAGCGGTTTTCTCGCTTCAGAAGCAAATTGGTGCATTGCCACTTGGGCAAGAGCCTTACCAGGCCGGGCGCCCCTGCACTCTAATTTTCGTTTTTGCCGGACGCTGCCTTCAAGCGGAAATACAGGCATTTTTTTGAGAGTTTAGTTACTGTATGTAATAGAAACTTCTTGGAATTTACCTAGACTGGGATATCGGCAACTGAATATGGGTGGTCGTTCTAGTCATTCTGTGGTTCATAATTTTCTTTTGCAGATGACAATCGCCAAAACTCGGCTCATTTTTTGTAAGCGTAAGGATAGGCCTCCGGTCTATTCTTATGCTGCAGGCCTACTTACTTGCTTGTGGTTAGATACTTAGATGGTCGGTCTTCACGTGTGTGCGGGCCTCAGCACAAAAGTCTCCATTTGCCCTGTCCCTCGCTTCAGACATCTACGATCTTCGTGATTGTCGTAGGTGGCTGCGTCCACGAGTTCCAGGTGCGACAATCGTATCCAGCTGATTTCTCATCTGGTCCATCCGTTCCACGAACATGTCTGCCCATCTCGTTGAAGTTCTTTCCCCAGGACGTTTTGCTTCGCGAGGAATCCACTCCGATGTTCTTAGTGTCCATCTGTCGTCTGTTCTTCTCATAATGTCATCGGCCCATCGGTGTTCCGCTTTCGCAACGTATTCCGCTGGGTCACGAAGACGGGACATTCTTCTCATATCCGTACTGCGAAGTCCGACAAGGTGTTGCTTGTGTCGGGTCATCCTTAGAAGACTGCGCTCAGCGCTGGGTAGTCCATAAACCTTACATGGCTACAGTGTCGGGCCAAATCTCAGCCGCGTAACAGAGCTCCGAGAGAACGGTTGAGTCGAACAGGTGGGCACGAAGCTCCGGGTCTGTCAGTTGGTCAGTGGCTTCCTTCACAGGCCCGGAGGCGGCCCAGGTTCTTCCCTCAAGTCGTTCTCCATGTTCATCGAACGTTCGAGATACACGTAAGAAGACGTCTTCATGATAGGGGTGCCTTCCAAATCCAATTCTGCATCTTTGCAAAGGGCGTTCTTTATGAACTGGGTCTTCTTCCGATTTATTCGCAATCCGAGCTTCTTCCCTACTTCGTTAAGTTCCTTCAGCATCGTCTCTGCTTCATGATACTGCTCGAGGAGAGAACGATGTCGTCCGCAAAACGAAGGTTCGACGGGAATCCCATCAACTCGTATGCCTCTCTCGTCCTAGTTTAGTTACTGACTTCATCGCCCACTGCAAGGCCGCGGTGAACAGCTTCGGCGAAGTAGTGTTGCCTTGTCGAACCCCCTTCTCAACTGGTTAGGGAGCGTTGGAACAGCTGCATCGTCGTTGTACAGTCTTTGTAGCAGACGGCTAGTGTACTCATGTAAGCTGGGTCCACTCTTTGATCGACTAGCGCTGACAGAATGGCGTTCGTTTCGACGCTGTCAAAAACTTTTTCGTTGTCGACGAAGGCCAGGACGAGAGGCAGTCGGTACCTGGCAGACTTCTGTGACCCTCGAAATCGTCTGGATGTGGTCCACGCAAGCGAGTCCCTTACGGAGTCCAGCTTGTTTTTGGGTTGTGCTTCATTCAGTGTCCCAGATATGCGAGAGAGGATAATTTTCGTGACAGGTTTGTAGAGCATACTCAGCAGGCATTTTGGACGGTACGCAGAAATTCGACGGAAGGATGGTCCTGGAGCCGTGAACGTCTTCATGGTCTGTATCGCGATACACACTTCAGCAGATAGAATTCTTGGTGGTAGTACTCCATTGGGAACAGCGGGCATCGGCACGGGTGTTGATGAGCGGAGGAAGTTGGTAAAGAAGTTCTTCGCGATAAATTCCATCTTATATCGGGAAGAAGTCGGAGTTCCGTCCTCGTTCAATAGTGCAGCCAGCGGCACAGGATATTTGCAGAAGTCCCTTCGGCACTTCTGAAGACTTCGTCTTTCTTCGGGTGCTCCCAGTATCTTGGCTTGCCTGTATTTTCAGAGATCCTCCTGCAAAACTCTTCTGCAACTGGCGTTGACTATCAGTCGCTCGAAATGGGTTGCATTCGGATCCTGCCTCAGAAATCTTCTTCTTTCGAGCAATTCCTTGGTGGTTTTCAAAATGGATTCCAAGTGGTTCTCAGAAGTCACTGAGGCGCATTCTCCACAGGCTAGCAATCCTTTCAGAAGCCTATCGTAGTCGTACGTTGAGTCCTGCTCGATGGGCCAGTCAAAACTTGATATGAACTCTTCTAACCTGTTACCGTCATAAACGACTCCTTCCCTTCTCGCGGCACTGTGGCAGATCTTATTTTTGGGCTTTCGACTGAATCGTACCTTCGCTCGAAGGAGGCGGTGATCGGAGCCACTGGAAGGATGGAACTATTGAGACATCAAGCAAGCTCCACCTTCGGTTGGTGAAAGTGTTGTCGATCTCCGCGTGAGTCGTTCCGTTGGGCGATTTCCAAGTCCACCGGCAATATTCTTTCTTCATGAAGATGGAATTTTCATGGAAAAGTCTTGCGGCGGAGAGAAGCCCAAAATGAGAAGGTTGCCGTTTTCGTTCCGGAGCCCATATCCAAACTTCACGATCCTATATTCCTTCTCTAGTGACATCTCCATCTTCGCATTGAAGTCGCCCATAACGAAATTGTAGAAGGACTTCTCGTTGCGGACGATCTGCTCCACGTCTTCGTAGAAAGCATCCAGTTCTCAACCGCTCAGACAATCGCCGGGGGCAGGCGGCACCGGAAAAATAGATTGCTGATCTCTCGCACCCCGCTCGCGGATTTTTTGTAAAGCAATCAGGACTTTTCGGAAAACCGCTTGCTGAGTCAGCGGATTTTTGAGAGACCGCCTGTTGAATTTTTTTCGCTCTTATCTTTTGCAGATATATTGCTGAATCTCTGAGGAATCGAGAACTCAGCAAGCGGTCTTCCGAAAAGTCCTGATTGCTTTGCAAAAAATCCGCGAGCGGGGTGCGAGAGATCAGCAATCTATTTTTCCGGTGCCCGCCTGCCCCCGGCGATTGTCTGTGCAAGCGTTTACTTGAAGAAACGCTTGAGTTTGGGTTCTCGTTGGTGAATGCTTTTTTGCTTTGCTTGGAAAACGCTTGAGTAACTGGTCTTGCTGATAGAGGTAAGCGTTTACTTGGGAAAATCCCGCTTTGGGTATGTTACTGAGTCTCGCTGATGGAGATGGGCTTCCACTTGGAAAAATCCAACGCTTGAATGGGTGGGTCTCGTTGGTGGAGGAAAGCGGCGCTTTGGGTAACTGGGTCTCGCTGGTGGAGATGAGCTTTCGCTTGGGAAAATCCAACGCTTGAATGACTGGGTCTCGTTGGTGGAGGAAAGCGGCGCTTTGGGTAACTGGGTCTCGCTGGTGGAGATGAGCTTCCCTGGGAAAATCCAACGCTTCGAATAGGGTCTTGCTGGGGAGGGAAGCGTTTACTTGGCGAAATTCAATGCTTTGGGTAACTGGGTCTCGCTGGTGGAGATGAGCTTCCACTTGGGAAAATTCAACGCTTCGGATAGGGTCTTGCTGGTGGAGGGAAGCGTTTACTCGGCAAAATTCAATGCTTTGGGTAACTGGGTCTCGCTGGTGGAGATGAGCTTCCACTTGGGAAAATCCAACGCTTGAATAACTTAGTCTCGCTGGTGAAAGAATGCGTATACTTGGGGATTCAACGCTTCAGATAGGGTCTTGCTGGTGGACGGAAGCGTTTACTCGGCGAAATTCAATGCTTTGGGTAACTGGGTCTCGCTGGTGGAGAAGCTTCCACTTGAAAATCCAACG